GGGAGCACAGCCTTATACTGTACACATTTTCGGTGTGCCTTCTTTTGAAATAAATACGCCACTTATTTATCTAAAATCGGACATCGAATCATTAATTCTGAAACTCACCTTTGCAAAATCTGAAACCTCCATTAAGGTTTCGGTATCACATAATCTCGCGATAATCTAACATCTGTCAAAAATAGCTATCCTTCCTCTTATCTAGTTTTATTAATCGCATTGACTTAGGTATTTTCAAGCAGCCTCCCTCAATTTTAATACATTTCAAAAAAAAACTAAAGCACACCCTATTAGTAAAAAGTATCTTTAGCTCTTTTTAAAAAAGTTATCATAGTAATGACTTTATATTATCTGTTTTGAAAACTCGCTACTATACAAACTTTTTTAACAGGATAAGAGTTAGCGCCATTTTTTAACAATAACAGAACCCTACAGCTCTAATAAAACTTCATAATTATTTTGATTTTTGAAAAATACACTTTAAATTGTATAAATGATGTAAAATTCAATTGAATAAAAAATAATAGCCAATCATGTAAAAGGTCCTATTATGAGGCTAGTGCGGTTAGTCAAAGAATGATTTATTAAAATTCATTGTGCGAACTACAGATTTAAATTTTGGTCAACCAGGAAAACTTGAAGAAAAAACCTCGATCTTGGCTTGCACAAGGTTATGTCGATCACCGAATCGAAAAAACTTAAGTGCAAATTTTAATTTACTCTATATTCGATATTTAAGTGTACCCATATACCTAAAATTTCGTGCTGAAAACTTTTGCTTAGAAGTCAAACTACGGTTATCATATTAAAATCTTGAGTTATTTACGATTTTTCTGTTTTCTTAGATAACTCAAAATTTTACTATGATAATCGTAGTTTGACTTCTAAGCAAAAGTTTTCAGCACGAAATTTTAGGTATATGGGTACACTTGAATATTGAATATAAAGTAAATTAAAATTTGCACTTAAGTTTTTTCGATTCGGTGATCGACATAACCTTGTACACATTTACGATGTGCTATTTTGGTTACAGGTGACGAAATCACGATTGCTGCGGTGATCGGTGGTTTAAATTCGGGCTTGATCGATTACCACGTGCTGTGTCACGGGCTGAGATCGGATCTTCAATATTAGTATCGATATCACAAGACTTTTTAATTTTCGATTGATCGACGTAATCGTAGAACAATGGGAATATGCAATGATGATGAAATGTAGAGTTTTAATTGTATTATATAGAAGGTCTTTACTAATTCGATCTTTATTTCTTTTCTCTTTACTTTTTACAAGGTCAAATAACGATATAACCAGGTATCACGGGGGCAAGGTTGATTTTACAAAAATGACTCTTCTTTTCGGGTAAGCTTTTTAGATCAAAGGATAACTTTAGAGACAAGGGAATTCTACGTTAAGTATTTTGTATTGAAATGGGTTAAAATAAAGGAACAATCTAAGGTTAACACCTCTACTCTTATTTCAAAGGTGTTTTAGGCTCAAGCTTTTACTTTAGCTTGTCGCGACTTTGGTAACAATATCAGGACGAAAAGGTGGTTTTAATACGAGCAATTTGGGTCAGAAGGAATAATTTCGGTTCAAGGATCAAAGATCTTCTGATTTAAAATTTTTCCGATTTCATGAAATGGGGATTCCGATTTTAAAATTTTGAACCACAAATAAGATTTTTTAAACTCTTATTTGATTTCAAAATGCGTCACTTATTTGTTAACTTTGAAACCCCCCAATATTTATCTTTATATTTGCGTATATATATTTGATGTGTATAAAAATCAGTTATGAATTGATGAGACCAATATATAATAATCTAATTCCACGGAAATTTACTATTATAAAATATATATTTTTTGATTTAGGGCTTCTCAAATATCTTAATCGATGGGACAAAAAGTGTCGGGGAATAAATTTTATTTAAAAAAAAATATTTTAATCGGACCAATTGTGTTTATCATTATAATGGATATTTAAATCGTATTCGCAACTTCAAATTTTTTTATTAGTAAAAAATAATTTAAGTAAGTTTGCAATTTCAATTTATGTACATTTTACAACATATCATCTTTATCTTATCCATGACTTGACAAAATTTGCAAATTAATAGATTATTCAAAGAGATCGCTAAAATAACTTCGTTATGGATCCTCAACTATTTTATGACGTTTCCGTATTTAACATTTTATTTTTTTATAAATTTTTGACGATGATATTTAGAAAATAAGAATTTTTCAAGTATCAATTACAATCTTTGATTGATTATATTAAAATGAGCATCGTTACGATTACTAGTTAAATCACATTAAAGATAATGTTTAGAAAACTTCATTACGTCATTAATTCGCATATTCAAGTTGTCTACAAAAAGGTTTGTTATAGCTGAGCACTATTGCAATCACATCGAGAATGTGGTTTACTGAGAATAAAAGATCATTGATAAACGATTTATAATAAACTACCTAAGCTTGTAGCATTTATTTTCATAGTGCTCTCATTTAGAGTATTTATTCATAAATATAGTGGGTATCTCTATTCGATTAATACATAATGTCACAAATTAAAGTTTAGAAACGTAACACAGTGAACAATGATATTTTCGAGCGTATTCTATGAAATCAGGATGGCTTGGCATGGCACAAAATGCAGATATGATTATGACTTTAATCTGAAGTTTATGATAATAATGAATGTAGATTTCAACAATGTTATTGTAAAAATTCAGCTATTATGCATCCTGTAATTACTACACTCAATTTCGAGAATCTGCCGATATGTGCCACTTTTTTATATAATAAAAAACGGCAAATATAAATCCTATCCAGTCATATAGATTAGATTTCCATGTGGTTATTGTTATAAAATTCGGTGTAATACTTTAATCTGAAAAGCACAACTTCTATATTAAAACTTATTTTTGTACAAGAACAGATTCAAATTTTATACATTCGATATACTGTATTTTTATTGTCATAAATCTAGTATTTCAGTCTGATCTATCTTTGAACGTTATATTGACTGTAGAATTTACTAATGATCCATTGCTAAGAAATCGTCACGTTACACCGATTCTTAAATTTGATTGTTTCATGTGATCTGTTTAATTTTTTTTGAATTTACCTTAATATATAATGTGCGTTTACAGTTCTTGATCTGTTTAATTTGTGTATTACTATATTATAGCCATTTTACATTCATCATTGAAAAACTCTCCGAAAAATGGCAATTAAACACTTTGAAAACCTTTCAAATAATTAAAGGGAATGACTTTAATGTGATTATTAAAGCAGGAAAATCTACGGATATAAGAGAATTTAAGGCACATTCAGTAATTTTGAAATGCAGGTCTTTTTATTTTCAGAATAAATTAGAAAATACCACCAAAGGTACCAATGGTATTATAAAAATTGATTTAAGTTCACATATTTCTATTCAACAATTTGAAATAATTATTAAGTAATTCATATACTGTAATACTTTTAATTCATAATTAATACTGTGATTACAATATCTTATGTGTTTAACTTTTTTATTTGATTTAATTTTTATAATAAGATATATTTACGGAGGTTTCATTTCTTTGGAAAATATTAATACTCAATTTATTTTTGATCTTATTTTTGTTGCTGATGGGTTTCTTCTTGATGAATTAGTTGGATCACTTGAAACTTATTTAATTGAGTCTAAATCCCACTGGTTACGCACTCACTTTACAAATGTTTATAAGACATGTTTCCAAAATAACAAACTAAAAGAACTCCAAAAATGGTGCAATAGCATTTTGGCAAAACATCCAACCATTATTTTCGATTCTGAAGATTTTAATTCTCTTAATGAAAATGCATTAGTTTCACTCATTAAGCGAGACGATTTGCAAATGGAAGAGATAAAGATTTGGAATTATGTTATAAAATGGGGAATTGCACAAAACACTAATTTACCATCTGATCCTGAAGATTGGTCTGATGAAAATTTTGCAGCTTTAAAGGTTACTCTGAAAAATTGTTTACCTCATATCCGTTACTTTCAAATGTCTGGCAAAGATGTTGGAGATTATATATATCCGTATTCTCAAATTCTTGAAAAAAAACTTTGGAAAGATCTTAATAGAAGTCATTTATCGTCTGATTATAAAGTTACTTCAACAATTTTACCACCTCGCATTATTTTAAAATCAGAATTACCAGCAAGATCAACCGAACCGTTTTCAACCGTCATCAATGAAGAACATGCAGCCGAAATTGCATCATGGATTGATAAAAGTACCACTTCGTATAATACAAGAAATAATCCATACGAATTTAAATTACTTCTTCGTGGAAGTAGAGATGGATTTACCCGTGAATCATTTTGGAATTTATGCAATATGAAAACAAATACTGTTACGGTTATAAATGTGAAAGGCAATGATAATGTTGAAAGAATTCTTGGTGGATACAATCCGGTTGCATGGGATAAGAACAAAGGTCGTGGTTTTAGTAGTAGTTATGTTAGTTGTCAGGATAGCTTTATTTTTTCACTAAAAAATGATGCAGTCCAAAATTCTATTTTAAGTCGTGTCAGTAAACCAGAACGCGCAATTTTTAATAATACTAGTTGCGGTGTGAATTTTGGTTATCCAGATCTTGCTATGTTTTATGATTATAATGGACAAAATAATAGTTGCTATACTAATTATCAAGGATATTATGAAAGACAAATTGGTATTGGTTTACCTAGAACTGATCAATATTACTTTGTAAACGAATATGAAGTATTTCAAATTCATAAGAAATCCAAATAAAAACTGGAATCTATTAGTTTGGGATGCTTTTCAAATTAATTACTGTGACCATCAGATATAATGTCTCAAACTGATTAGATTTTTATGACTAGGCTAAGAGTTAGCTTAGCGGCTTAGGTTAGATGTCATGAGACTAGAAATTGGAATATGATGAACTAATCAACGTTCACCGAGCATCGACCATACAAAAAATGAATAATACCTTGGATTTATGTTTTGCAATATTCGGGAAAGTACCCATAAGATTCTGGAACAGGTAAATCTGATTTTGACTTTTAATGGAGAAACTTGACTTTATAAATTGAAAAAAAAATTCGTCGATGCTCAGAAAACTCAGTTTATGACAAATGATACTTTCCAATCTCTGCATGAGGCTCCACACATTATGTCTGACAATACTACTTGCTTTTCTTCACTATGAAAATTATTTTATATGTGAGAGATGAATACCGTATAGTCGCGAGATAACGCACAGGGGCGTTATTTCGAATCTCGGCCCGAATTGAGCTTAATTTAGGCCGAAATTCGAAATTACACCCCTGCGCGTTATTTCGCGACTATACGGGTATGTATTTTATCGAACAGAATTTACTTATTAGAATCCTTTAAGAATAAAATTATTAGATGCATAAGAACTTTACTTATGGTTTTCGTTGGCATCACACATAATTTTTGAAATATATATTTGGACTGATCTCTTTATTATATTTATACGTCATAATGTTGTATATTTAGAATCACTTTCAGAAGTGTCGGGAAATGACTAGCCATTTTTTAAATGACCTTGGTCATTATGCACATGACCTATAGTCATCGGCATATTACGAATGACCAAGTGATGTAACAGAGACAGCCCTGATTTTTTCCCCTTACATTCTTAAGTATAAAATACGACTGTGGGTTCTGAACAAACAATCAGTATAAGGTTTGCCTATATGTATATGGGTCATGTCAGGTCACATAAATCGAAATGACTACTTTGTCATTTAGATCACATTTGGTCATGTTCCAACATTGCTTTCTCGATTGAAAATTCAGGTACAAGTTTAAAATTTGTACCGATTAAGATTTTTTATTTTCTTTTTCGAATACTTCATTAGTTTTTTCGTTTTTTTTTTCATTTCAAGCCTTTGAAAAAAGGACATAATAAATCTTTGTGAATTATTGTTAAACATTCCATTACGGAACTTGCTTACAAATTTATATGATTGATCCAAAATGGGACAGATAGTAAAAAAAGAATGAAATATTTTTTTTTATTTTATATAAAATATAGGTATTTATAATTTCAAAATACAATTGTTTTCTTATCAAAGAATTGAACGTTCAATAAAATAAACAAAACTTAACGTGACCAATAAAATACCATAGACGAAACGTCTAATCACGAAATGGGACTAGATATAAGAAGTAATAATTGCCAATGTAAGAGCTATCCTTGTCATAAAAATAATACTCTTTTTGTTGCTTATTAAAGGGGGGTTTTATAGCGCAGTAAAGATTAACGTAATTCAATAATTAAATAAATGCCTATATAATAAATATCGGTAGATAAGTTGCAGTATTATGTAAATTGCTTTTTTTCGTGATAATTTATATTACGTACTTCATTTTACAATTTTAAAGCTACGACGTACATTCAAGTTTTAATTGCCAGAAACTTGAAAGTGATGTCTCACATATCTACTAAAAATAAAAAAAATCCCGTTTAATTTTTTGCAAGGTAATATTTAGATTGTTTATAAATAATTTAACGGATGAGCTTAATTTTTTTCGTTCATATTTAAACGCTAGCATAAAGATTATTAATCGTAGTTAACACAATTGGTTTCGTTTTATGTTTATTATAATTGATGAGTCGAAAAAATATTTATTGATTTATAAGATCGATATAATCTAATTAATTTTACGGAAATTTACTATTATACTGTGAATACCTATTTAATTTTATATATCTTGATTTAATGAGAATGAGGGACTTTTGGTCGGTTTTATTTGCGTAAATATAGTGGGCGAGTTTAAAGATTTTCTGCTAAAATCGATGTATTCGCTAATTTGTTTAATCTAAAGTCACAAAAAATATAATTTAGAAATGTATATGTCACAATGAACGATAATTTTCTTTCGTGGAATGAATTCTACGAGATCTGTTACGTTTGACATAGCGTAAGATGCAGATATGATTGTGGTTGGGCTTAAACTGAAGGTTATGGTTAGAATTAATTGCGGACAAGCATTTATTGACAGGATTTATTAATTTCCAAAGTAGAGAGCTTACTAATGTAATTGGATTTCGTTATTTACTGTAATCTAGATTCCATCGATAAGGAAATTGTCACGTTACACTTGATCCAGTTTCATATGATGTGCTTATTTTTATGTACAGTACGTATCACAGTCTTTGCTTATTTTTTGTACTGTACTGAGTACATTTGAGTGTTGAAAACTCTTCGAGCTTATAAAATTTACGGGGAAAAAATGACAATTAAGCACTTTGAAAAACTTTCAAATAATTATATTGAACTTCTTGAAAAGGGAAATGACTTTAATGTGATTATTAAAGCAGGGAAATCTACGGACATAAGAGAATTTAAGGCACATTCAGTAATTTTGAAATGCAGGTCTTCTTATTTTCAGAATAAGTTAGAAAATATCACCAAAGATACCAATGGAATTATAAAAATTGATTTAAGTTCGCATATTTCTATTCGACAATTTGAATTAATTATTAAGTAAGTCATACTTTTAATTCATATTTAATACAGTAATTACAATATCTTATGTGTATACCTTTTTTTGTTGCTTTAATTTTACTATAAGATATATTTACGGAGGCTTTATTTCTCTGGATAACTTCGATACTCAATTTACTTTTGATCTTATTTTAATTGCTGATGAGTTCCTTCTTGATGAATTGGTTGGATCGCTTGAAACTTATTTAATCGAGTCTAAAGCCCACTGGTTACGCTCTCACTTTGCAAATGTTTATAAGACATGTTTCCAAAATAACAGACTAAAAGAACTCCAAAAATGGTGCAATGGCATTTTGGCAAAACATCCAAACATTATTTTCGATTCTGGAGATTTTAATTCTCTTAATGAAAATGCACTAGTTTCACTTATAAAGTGTGACGATTTGCAAATGGAAGAGATAAAGATTTGGAATTATGTTTTAAAGTGGGGAATTGCACAAAACCCTAATTTGCCATCAGATCCTGAAGACTGGTCTGATGAAAATTTTGCAGCTTTAAAAGTTACTCTGAAAAATTGTTTACCTCACATCCGTTACTTTCAAATGTCTGGAAAAGATGTTGCAGATTATATATATCCGTATTCTCAAATTCTTGAAAAAAAACTTTGGAAAGATCTTAATAAAAGTCATTTATCACCTGATTATAAAGTTACTTTGACAATTTTACCACCTCGCATTATTTTAAAATCAGAATTACCAGCAAGATCAACCGAACCGTTTTCAAACGTCATTAATGAAGAACATGCAGCAGAAATTGCATCATGGATTGATAAAAGTACCACTCCGTATAATACAACAAATAATCCATATGAATTCAAATTACTTCTTCGTGGAAGTAAGGATGGATTTAACTGTGTATCATTTTGGAAATTATGTAATATGAAAACAAATACTGTTACGGTTATAAATGTGAAAGGTAATGATAATGTTGAAAGAATTCTTGGTGGATACAATCCAGTTGCATGGGATAATAGTAAAAACGGTACTTATACTAGATGTCAAGATAGCTTTATTTTTTCATTAAAAAATGATGCGGTCCAGAATTCTATTTTAAGTCGTGTCAAAGAGCCAAAATATGCTATATATAATTATACTAGAAACGGTGTGAATTTTGGTGCTCCAAATCTTGCTATGTTTTATCAACATAATGGTTGCTATACTTATCATAGTGGAAATTATGAAAGACAAATTGGTATTAATGGTTCCGGACAAAATTACTTTATAAACGAATATGAAGTGTTTCAAATTAATAAGCCCAAATAAAGAAATAGAAAACTATTGCCTTTCCATAAATTTAGAGTGCTCTTCAAATCTACCAATGATCACCCAACACAGAAATATTCAAAATCCTTTCTCATTATATTTCGATTCTTTTAGTATAAGTTTGTGTCTTGTAGTTAATTTGATCAAGCAACAAAAAATTTGGTTTCTTCGATTAAACCTCTATAATCTTTGAATGAATATACTTTGATAATGTTCCATTATTTTAATATTCGAAGCTGTTTTCTATTTTTACTACTAATAGAATTTAAAAAATAGTCTTAATAAAATTTCTAATTTCTAGCCAATCACGGGTTAAATTTTCGTGTGATTGTTTACACCAATTTACATATAATTGAATAAATCTAGATTCAGTTTAATTTTTGGGCGTTACATAGATTTTAGGGATTATTAATTTGATGACCTTTACGTATATTCTAATATACCGCAAAGAAATAAATCTCATACTCAAAATTTTGATTTTCATATGTTCTTTTTTTTTTTTTTGTATTATTGTATTAAAGTGCTTTGCTTATTTTTAGTATTGGTGGAAAAATTTAATGTTAGAAACTTATGAAAAAATGGCAATTAAGCATTTGAAAAACGCCCAAATAATCCTATTGAGCTTCTTGAAAAAGGAAATTAATATAACTAGGAAATATAATGGCATAAGAGAATTTAAGGCGCATTTAGTCATTTTTAAATGCAGGTCCTCTTATATTTAAAATAGATTAGAAAATATCATCAAAGATGCCAGTGGTCTATTCAGCAATTTGAAATAATTATTAGGCAAGCCGTGTATTACTGTAATTAATGTAATTAGTAAATTGTTAATTTAATTTTAATAAAAAGATATATATATGAAGGTTTTTTTTCTCTGGAAACATTGATATCCAATTTATTTTTGATCTTATTTCAGTTGCTAATGAGCGAGCTCCTCCTTGATGAATTAATCGAATCTATTGAAGCCCATTTAATCAAATCCAAAGCTCACTGATTACGCTCTCACTTTGCTCTTATTTTAAGACATGCATCCAAAATAGCAACTACAAAAATGATGCAATAGCATAAAAGCACTTAATTTGTTTTCGATTCAGAAGATTTTAACTCTCTTAATCAAGATGCTCGTATTCGTTACTTTCAAAAGTCTGGCAGATTGTATATTTCCATATTCTCAAATTCGTAATAATGATAACAACTTGGGTCGTTGGGTATATCACTGTCTGGGATCAATCTACTAATACAAAGTGACTAAAGATATTATTAATTAATATCAAAATACTTAGCAAGTTTACTAGATTCATTTTAATATAATCCATTGAAAGAAATCGCTTCGTTACACTCGAACTCAATTTGGTAAATTGGCTGATTTTTTGTATTACAATTTTACGTGCATTTATAATCTGAAA